CCTAGGTGCCCTTCAGCAGATGAATGGATGAAGAAAATGTCTCTCTCTGACATTTCCTCTGCTGTGCTGTTAATAGAGACTGTTCTTGAAACATTTTGGGTTGTTTGGGATTGTTTGTTCCCTTTTTTATATTTTTTGTGTGTCTCCCCATTTATCAGTATGGATCTGAAGTGGCAGAGTTTTCTACCCCATGAATTTACAGTGTCTCTCTAGGTTTTCAGTACCTCACAGATTAGGGGGAGGAAAATAATGTCAACAACCTATGCAAACAACATACAGCATTAAACTAAATACTTAGTTTCTACTGTGACTTCTACAATGTTAATTAGCACCAGAAACAAATAGTATGGTTAGCAGTTGCCACCAGGAAGAACAGCAAGTTATGTATTATGTGTGGCATAAAAACCAAAGAAAAAGTGTTATCTATGACTTCCGTAGCATTAATAATTGCTACATCATTAGTGATGGGGGCAGGCATTATATGAACCAATTAGTGCTAAAAGATGTTAAGAATAGAGTTCAGTGCAAGGGAAGAATTTTAGGTAGGTATAAAAGAATTTGAAGTTTCAAAAGGTGAACAGGGAAAATGCAAAAGAGATATAGGATGTGATGGTTATGAGGGAGGAGGAGAGAAAATAGAAGTAAAACCTTAAAGGAAAAGTGAAAGAGCATGATCAAATTTGGCCATTTGCAAGAGCAGTAGAAACAAGGGAAACAGACAAGTGAAAAATAATACAAAATGAAACCAAAATATACTAATCAAAACCCCTAACCCTCAAAAGACAGAGCAAGGAAAATAGCTACCTTCAAGAAATGATAGATATGAGAAAAAAGAAACATGTATAAATGCCTATGAACCATTCAGCATACATACCAGAGAGAGTGAGAGTGAGAGAGAGAGAGAGAGAGAGAGAGAGAGAGAGAGAGAGAGAGAGATTGATTCTTGGTGAAATAATAAGGAATTGTTTCCATTGTGTGGTCAAAATCCTCTCTGAGAATATATGTTCACTATCTGTGTCAAAATGACTTTTTTTTCCCATTTCTTTTTGAGGTATGTACTGAGCACAAGAGTAGTGGCATGGGCTGTCAAGTCCTTTCTTTTTTGTATTGCTCACCACGTTGCCAGTTGGAGTTTATAAATTCTCAGCTTCCCTTCTGGGCAGTATGAGGTAGAGTGGGCTGGGAAGTACTGTCAGCTTCATCCCAGGGTGGAGTCGCTGCAGAGTTTTGTGAGAGGAGTTTCTATAGATGTTGTTTCCGAAGATGTTGTTTAGGGTCTAGTCAGGCCCCAGGATCTTCACTGAGTGGTGACTGGCCTGGAGATACTAAATCATGGTGCCTCCAGGGCCCAGCAGCTGCAATCTGTGTTGAGAGACTAAACCCAAGAGTCTCCCCAAGATTCCACTTGTGAGTGGGCAGCTGCTTTTCAAGGATCCAGCCTTTCCTGGCTTTCCAGGCTTAGTCCTGGAGTACAGTCACATCCTTCACACCCACCCCACCCCAGCTGGTCCTCAAGCCAGCCAGACTTCAGAGGTGGGAATCTACACCAACCTATTGTGTAGTCAGCCTCTGGATCAGTCAGACACTGTTTTTAATCTCAGATTTCTCCACACCTAGATAAGCTATGGCACTGCCTGAAATGCTACTTCCTCTAGTCCCCCTCCCCTGATTTGCCCATGGTGGGTTGGCTCTGGCAACTGGCAACGGTGGGGGCCTTTCTTCTTTATTTTATTGTATCCAACCTTCTGAATCCCCAAGCTGCTCTGAGTGTCTGGTATCAAATCCCAGTGAACTCCCTCATTCAACCACCTCACTGAGAGGCTACATATCTGCTTCTTTGGTCTCACACCGTGGAGCAGCTTGGAAAGCAAACCTCCTTTACTCTGCCATCTTCCCTCCTCTCTGAGCAGTGGTTCTTAAACTTGAACTGCCTAAAAAGCAGTTTTTATAGGCAACAGAATGATCAGTTTGGTGACATGTTGAATCCCAATGCATTTATATTTGGGAAATCACCTGCACTTAAAAAATAATGCACAGTATAGGGTATTTTTTCCATTAGTTCTTGCATCATCTATCAGGAAAACTAACACGAAAAATTGTCATACTCAAAGATACATTTCTCATCAATGAAGAAATATGGAAAATATCTTTGTAGGAGCCATACTTTGTTTCTTGAGTTCAGTTTATTGGAAAATTGGTGACATAGATGTACTCTCTTTCTGTGGTTGGGTAAAACTAAAATTGTAATTGAGACTTTCTTGAAAATTGCCCTTGTTAATAATAACTTCATCTCTTGTAGTTAGTTACATAACAGACTTGTTAACTCTGCAACCAGACTGATTTGGTCTGTTTATTCTATAGGTTGGTCCTTTCCTTGACGTAGCAGAGTAATTCATCAGTACATTCTTCAAGGAGGGTAGAGGTTAAGCAGCCACTTTGACAGAAAGTCTTATTGAGATGTTTTACATTTTTATATTTTGTCTCCATTCTACTTGCTTAATTTTTCCAGGTCATCTCAAGTAATGCTAGGTACCTGGTACTACTTGCTGAAGTGTAACAGGGTCATGTAGTTGAAATGGGAAGTTTGCCTTTTAATCTCAATGACTATATCAGAATGCAGAGAATTCTCCTTTCAAGGAAAACTTCCAAGTGCCTTTGGAATTTAAATTTCAAGTGGCCTCAAAGTGAATGAAGCTTCTTTGTTTCTTTCTTCTTAATATGTTCAGCGTAAGGTTTTTAAAGGTATGAAGACAATTTAAAACTTGTTTACTTTGTCTTAGGAGAGAAAAAAAGGTTGATATCGAAAGCTTTGTTAAAAGGATTTTTCACTGCCTGTGTTAGCTGTCTCTTCTATTATCAGAAAAAGGCAGGTCCCAGACATCACCAGTAAGGTCACAGAAAGTCTCTCAGAAAGATGTGAAGAGGAAATCCTCCAATTAGAAAAGGAATATAAAGTCTTAGAATTCAAGTTGAGAAATGTAAGTTGAAAAAAAATTACAATTAGAAATTTAAGTAATCCCCCCCTTTAAAGATCCAGTTGGTTAAATACACTCAATTGCTGTGGCCCATTATAGTGCGAAAGTAGCCATGTGCAAATGAATAAGCACTTAATAAAATTTAATAAAATAGGCATATAAACAAAACTATGAACACTGAAATTCAGATTTATATAATTTTTATATTAAAGGTTTCATTTGATTTTTTTTTTTTTTTTTTTTTTTTTTGTGGGCCATTTAAAATGTGAAAACCTTCCTTAACTTGTGAGCCCTACAAAAACAAGTGGGAGGCAATATATGGCCCATGGATCATTTTTTCCAACCCGTGTGGAAAAGGAATGAAACTTTTGAACTTTGGTTTGCATTTTTTCAGGATATAATGATATTTCAATGCCTTGAGAAATTGATTCTTCTTTTGTGCCGTAAACATTTTAATTGGTTGTGTCATGCATTTTACAAGCTTGAGCTTTTCACAACTGTTTCCAAGAGGAGAACTTACACGTAAGAGAGTATAATTCTGTCAACTGATCTAAGTTAGTGATAATTCTGTTTTACTATACTCCTTGTGTTAGGATACTTTTGGAACTCTTCAGTTCAGTAATCATGTCAATAACTAAATTTAAGGCGTCATAAGTTACAGATTATTTATGATTGTGGTTTATTCTGTCTTCTTACATGTTGTGTTTTACAAATTTGAACTCTTAAGAGATCCCAGCACTTTGGGAAATAGTTTGATCTCTGTTTTCAGAATTGACCTACTGGAGCACATCTATTAATAGACTCGGTCCTATGTTTGACTTTATAGATTTTTCTGAGGCTTAATGAGATCTGACCACAGGGTGGCATGTTTCTCTTACAAACTTCATTGTTAAAATGGGAAGGAAAGGGGTTTTAATTAATGAAAAGTCTTTCCTCTAATTTTGGTGTTTAAATGACCGGGTTTTCTCTAAATTGTTTTTTTTTCCCCCTGTAGTTCATTATGAAGATTTGCATAATATTAAATTACAGTGCCTTAAATCTTGATGCTTTAAAATCTCCTTACCTTGTGGTTATAACACAAATTATGAAATGTTTATAATTGAGAGAATAGTGATTAGAACTGTTTTTCATAGAATATATTGGATTTAGCCATTGACCCCAGGTTTAAAAATCAGTCTATAAAAACTGCTAAAAGAATATAACGAAAGTATCTTGCCTTTTAGTTGTGAAGGCATGGGCAAAGTTATTGGCATAAGATTTTTATCTGATTACAGAGTCTTCATGTAGGGATGAATGAAAAAGAGCTTGGATGCCAGATGGTCAGGAGACACAAAATAGTTAGAAAAGTGACCTTTCGTTCTGTTAGATTAAAGTGAGAGCTGAATGTCTTCCAAAAATTTTCGTACATGAGCTATAATGAGAGAAGGATCATCTCTGTGTAGTTTTTAAGGGAAGTGAGTTTAGTGGAGCTAATTAAAGTCTTTGTAGGTGGGACTTCAGTGCAGATTTACCTGGAGTCTAGGCACATGCTCTTTGTATGCAAGTATTTCCAGTTGGGTTCATTCTTTGTTGGAGAATGGGTGGACCTGGTGATGATTCTTGAGGTGTAGAGTTTAGAGAATTATTGCTGAAACTAGAAAATGGGCCAAAAGTATTCTGTGAGAGTATAACTATTTAATATACCACTCCATCTTCTTTGTCTAATTTTTTTCATCTCATTTCGAACCTATATACCAAGTAAATACACTGTTAATAATTTACATGTTTATCTAATCACCTCCACCAAAATGTAAGCTCCAAGAGGTTAGAGATCTTATTATCAGGCTCATTTTGTATTCCATTGCCTAAATATTGCCTGGCAGGTAAGTGCTTAGTATGTGTTTGTTGTTATAACCTACCAGAATGGGGTATAGTTTCAAAGTTGAGATGATATATGTAATTTTCCTTAACTACAATATTTTATGAAGATAGCCTTCCAAGAGGAGCTTTGCTAATGCAAATTTGCTATATCTTTTCCTTTCCTAGGGTGATTGTGTTGTTACAGTACTGCTTGCTGAAGAGGACAAAGTTGAAGATGATGTAGTTTTTTACGTGGTATTTTCGGGTTCTACCCTCCATCACTGTACAAGTACCCGGAAGGTCAGTTCTGATACTTTGGAGACCATTGCTCCTGGTAAGTATTTGGGATCTTTTTTAGCCTATACTAGTTCTTGAATACTTTTGTTCTATGTTCTTTACTATAGAGTAATATGAAGAGTGAACCAGAGTGATTCACATTTTTAAATACATAGGTGCTCTATTTTGTTAATCTTGTTTGTTCCAAAGAAGTGTGAACCTAATTAGAAATAAATGAAATAAAGTGTTATTATTTGAAAAATAAAAATCAGGATCAGCAAAAATATTAATTTATTGTAATGTTGAAATTTTGGAAATACTAAAACGTGGTAGAAGATATGAATTCTCATATGGGCATACAGATTTTATTCTGAATTTCATGGTGGTAAAACTAAAAAATAAAACATAAGCAGTTATGCATTTCTCATATCTAGGATGAAAAAACCTGCAAAACTTTTTATGAAGCCAAATTTGCCCCAAATTCATAAGTTATGGTTCATTGTGGAATGAAAGCTTAATCACTATTGTATTTTTAAATTTAACAGAATTAAAAGATGTTTACTTAATAAAAATTTTTATGAAGTTATGAGGACAATGCTACTTCTAACAGAAAGGGGTGATCCAGTAATGCTTATCTCTTGGCCTGTTCTAGCCTTTGAAGATATATTGATTTGTATTTGGAGATGAGCTTCTATCCTCAGTTGACCTTGCTTTAAAGTTAACAATTAACCAGTTTTCATCAGAATTCAGAAGAGTGTATAGTTAGAGGGAACCTCTAAAAATGCCAACAGCTTAACTATTACCATCTAGGGAATGATTAGACTGTCATCCTTTTTTATGAGTTCCACTTTGTTGGTGTAGGTGTTATAAGGTTAATTTGTTTGTGAAGCACTTCGAATGTCTGTTTTTTGCCAGTATTGGATCAGGTTGCCCATTTTTCATTCCAGTGACATTTCATATAAATTATCTTTATGTCTGATACCTACCAAATTCTGAAAATTATTCCACAATTAAGAACTAAGATTATGACTACTGAAAGTTTTATTTACCTTCTTGCATTGCAAAAATTATTTTGAAAAATATGGGATATAAGATTTGAGACAGGAAGATTTCTCCCAAACTGTTAGGGATAAGAAATAAAAAATAGTGGTCAGCATAGATACTGATTCCCTGCCCGCCAGGAGTATTAGTATCTTTTATAATTTAGACTGCCAGTCATCTTGTTTGCTACTATGTGCATTATATTGGAAAAGGTATATCTGGAACTTGAGGTCTTCTGTCTAGCAGGTACCATTCATTACCATTGCTAAAAATGTATTATATGTTGGTGATAGGGAGAAACAGTTCCTTAACTAGGTAGAATCAGTTTCTTAACTGGGTAGAATCAGTCTGTGACTGGGCTCTTTGAAAGGAATGGAGGTAATTTTTATTAACTAATTCTTTCTGAATTAGAAAAACTTTAAAGTTGAAGGTGTGTGTCTTTATATGTATATATGTGTACATATGTACCTAGAAAGGAACATCTTAATTAGATAGTAGAATAGTATGAGTAGTTAGAAAGGGCAAGTAGGACAGGGATATAATCCTGGGTTTTAGCCATGACAATAATAAACCCCAGCAGAGTCCAGTACTTTGATGGAGAGGGATGTGCCTGGAATCTTCCTTAGAAGGGCCTTTAAATTAGGAAGGTGGCAGGCGATTACTTTTCTTGGAAACATAAACCAACTGAACTTATAATGACAGCTGGGGTTCTAAATTTATTCTAGATCCTTGTAACATTTTTTTCCAGGATAACTTTCTGAACTTTAGTTTCCATTTCTTCCCTTGACTTTGGTTCTGATACCTCTTTATATGTCTCAGTACCCCCTTTTCCAAGCCACACCCCTCTTGAGTGTCCATTTGTACCTGCTGACCATGGGTGCCCTGCACTGCCATCGCAAGCCAATCAAAATGAATATTGTGTACTCTACTCTGCAGAATAGAGTTTTTGTCTGAATCGGCAGAAATTATTCCTGACCCATTCACTTCTTCAGGCCTGTAGTAATGCCATCTCTTTCATTTTCTACTAAACAGCTTTCTTCTTATCCCCTTCCCACATTCTCTATCATGCTTGCCAGCCATGCCCCCCATTCCCCTGAATATTCTGCTACCTACCCACATTCAGTCAGGTAGCTTAATCACAACAGATGTGAAGAAAAGATTAGAGTTCTTGAAGACTCTACTTGTGGAAAGCCAGGGAACATCAAAGTAACTCTTTAGCATGTGAGCTTCTGATTAATATTTGATATTTGATTTGTAAGGATATCAGCGAGACCCCTAGTTGGTGCACTAGAAGCCAACTATTTAAGCAAAGGAGATTGCCAACTGGATCTTTCTGCTCTAGTCATCATGTATAAGAGTTTTCTGTTTTCTTTTCAGCTACTGACATTTGGATTAATTTGGTAATTTGTTGTGAAAGGATAGAGATAAGTGTGTTTTGGGGGTTAACTTAGTTTTCCCTCCCTTTTGTCACTTTGCTTCTTCCCACTTGTTTGTTTTTCCTTTTCTTTCTTTCTTTTTCTGGGGATTGAACCCAGGAGCTCATACCCAGCCCTTTTTATTTTGAGACAGGGTCTAAGTTACCCTTCTAGGCTTGCAGGCCTCCTGCATCAACTTCTGAGTAGCCGGGATTACAGGTGTGCATCACCATGGATGGCTTCAGTTTTTAAATTCTTGTTTAATCATGGAATTAATTTTTCAGGCTAGAATTAAACTGCCTTAAATCTGCTTTTGTACTTCTTAAACTTGTGCCTTCCCTTGCTCCAGGTTCTTGCTCATCATGTCTCATTGAGGCTTCTTGTCTACCTTATAACAATATACAACTGCCTCCTCTCAGAATTCCATGTTCCCCTTTCCTGCTTTATGTTTTTTCATTGTACTTATCAACTTCTAACACATAATATATTTAGCTTATTTATTTTATTTTCTGCCTGCTTCTACTAAGGTTTAGTTAGGTTTATGAGGGGAATAATTTTCTTTCTTTCAGTGGTACGCGCTAAGAAGGCTTCTTCTAGGAATTCCTGCCGCTTGATGGGATAGCGTTTCTGCTGTGTTGTAATCATTCTAGTTCTCAGAAAGGTGAATGTACATATATATATTCCCCTTCTCCCTAATTTTGGGGAGAGGGGCAGAAATGTTTCTTAAATTAAACACTTAGCTTGGAGCAGAAGTCTGTGTCCTCTTTCTGAAGCTAACTGATAATTTCTTTGCATCAGTTAAGCTGTATTGATAGCCTCAGGTTTCCTGTATACTGAGGGCAGTGGAAGTGTCAGATTAATCAAGATTCTTCATGGAAAGTCTACACAATAGTGTGTGCATTCTAGTTACTGGATAAATGTACGATGTCTTTTTGCTGCAGCTGCTTCTAATCAGGATGTCTCTCTCTATCCTTCTGCAAGGATAAGACTTGCAATTCCTAATTATTTGGGCTGATTGTGTATGAAAAGAAAAAGAGCTTTGTGCCTTATTCTTGCTTTTTTACGTCATGCTTCATCCACATTGCTGGCTCTAATTTTTTAGTTCTCTGGTATGTTTTACTGTAAGTGTTTTGAAATGTTTTAGTTTCTAAAACCCGGTGATTGATTGACCTTCAAAAGACAGCTACTTCTTGATGTCATCTGTAAACTTTTATCAAATATTGTCTGAAAATAGGTTGAAATACTAGACATTCTAAGTTTTCTTCTAAAACAAAACTTTGACTCCAGATATTACAATTACATCCCCAATGTATGTTTTCTAACTTTTTTATGTTTTCTAATAAGAACTGTCCATTTGAATAGAGACTGTAGAGAAGTGGTAAAGGTTTTTTTTTTGTAATTTTTATTTTTTTTTTGTAGTTGTAGATGGACATTCAGAATGCCTTTATTTTGTTTATTTTTATGTGGTGCTAAGGATCAAGCCCAGTGCCTCAAACATGCTAGGCAGACACTCTGCCACTGAGCTACAGCCCCAACCCCGGTAAAAGCATTTTTAAAGTAACCCTTTCTTGCTTGCCTACCATAGATGGCTCTAGATGTGATTCAGTCCCCGCCCCCCACAAAAAGTATGGTAAGAGTAGTAACATATTTAGGGACAGGTGAGTAGAGACTTTGACTTCCTACTTTTTTTGCCTTTGAATTGTTTGAATTGAAGCATACTACTTATATAATATATAGTGATTTTTAATAAATTTTGAACACTGAAAAGAATACTTTCTTTTTTTTGAAAATAAATGCTTCATTGCATTAATTAACACTAGACACAGACCAAATTTTATAATAAAATATTATACCCAAAATACTTGTGAGATGGCTGGTTCAAGAATATAATTTGCTATGAAATACAGCTTAAAATGGAAAAACATTTCTAATAATAAAAGACGTTAATTTTGTAATTAAAGAAAACATAAAACACCCGTTATTGTCTCCGCATAGTAAACAGATCCAACCTTAAATCACACTTTATTTAATTAATGATTTTCCTCTCAAGATGAAGCTAAGGTAGTTTTTTTGAAGCCAGTATAGGATTGGTAAATAGTGTAAAGAAATCTGAGTATCCTTAGAAGGTAATTCTTAGGGGAAATATAGAGTACTATTCTATTATATTCACTTTTATCCATGAAACTGAATTTAGACAAAGCATTGATTTCGGAATGCAAAATGGAGCAGGATGTTTAGTTGATTCTCCACACTGTTTTGTCAAACATGCTGGTATAGAATGTTTTATAAAATGAAATCTTTTTTCACCTTGTCAATTACTTTTAGAATTCATAGCAAGCATTCTTGTTTGACAGAAAAACTTCAAACCTTCATTGACCCCAAAATTAGACTCAGCACTTCCATATTTTTCTTTCTCTTTCAAAAGGGAAGGTACTATACAAAGAAATTTGTCATGAAAAGGAAAAACAAAAACATTTATCACAATCAGAAGTCTTCTGGATTTAATGAAAAATTGCAGCCCATATCTCAACAACTGGACCTATAGTTACAGCATGATGTGTCTTTTATTTCATGTGAACCAAGATCCTTTTTCTAGCAGCGG